GATTGCGTAAGAGGGAAGAGAGAGAGAGAGAGAGAGAGAGAGAGAGAGAGAGAGAGAGAGAGAGAGAGAGAGAGAGAGAGAGAGAGAGAGAGAGAGAGAGAGAGAGAGAGAACGAGAGAAAAAGAGAGAGAGAGAGAGAGAGAGAGAGAGAGAACGAGAGAGAAAGAGAGAGAGAGAGAGAGAGAGAGAGAGAGAGAGAGAGAGAGAGAGAGAGAGAGAGAGAGAGAGAGAGAGAGAGAGAGAGAGAGAGATTATGAGGGTAGTTGAGGGCGAGGAGCGTGAGGAGCGAGACGTACGTTCTCGAGCGCCGAGGGTAAGGGGAGGGGAGGGGTGGAGGGGAGGGAGAGGCGGGAGGGAGGGAAGAGGAAATGAAGGCAGAGAGAGAAGAAGGGTGGGGAGGATAAGGGGATGGGAAAGAAAATGGGAGAAAAGGAAAGGAAAGGAAAGGAAAGGAGAGAGAGAGAGAGAGAGAGAGAGAGAGAGAGAGAGAGAGAGAGAGAGGAGGTAGGAAGGGAGAGTGAAAGAGAAAGAGAAAAAAAAAACGTGGCTTCGCATCAAATCATTAAGTCGCTTATGGTGATCCAGTACGTGATTGTGAGTCAAAAAATGAGGGGGTGAATGGAGGGAGGGGGGGGGGTGAAGCGAGGGTACGAACGTGACTCACACACACCCCTCCCCCCCTCTCCCCACAAAGGTCACACTGGGTCAGGCAAACCTAAGAGGGCGGAGCTGGGGGTCACATGCATAAACTCCCCCCTGAGATGATGATGCACAGTCCCGAGTTTATAAACAAACATCGCGTTTAATGATCTCTTCATAATGTTCTAAAACAACTTCATACCCAATCTGAAATGTACTTCAAAACTGTTAACAGACATGTAATACATATTGTCACATATTTCCCGGCCTGTAGTCTTAAATCCAACCTAAACACGATTGCTCTAGTCTCTAAAAAAACCCACTTAGAATCATAACTTGAAGGGCGCGCCATCTTACCAGATCCCTAGAGTTTAAAAAATCGTGACGAAATGAAGCAATGAGAGCTGCAGGCAAGCCATTCCCGATTCCCAAAGCCCTGGTTCCTCGCCGGGATCCGTCGCAGACATCCAAGCCAAATGAAATTCCGACTCGCCCGTACGTCCGGCCTCGCAAAGCCTAATATTCCATCGACTGGATCCCCCCCCCCCCCCTCGAGGTCATTTCAAGCCCGGGCGGAGGTGGTCCGGCCGCCCCATTGATCCTCGTAAACCGCCCCAGTAATTATTTGATATCAATCTGCTAGACATCCCTTCCACGTCCGTCCCCCCCCTCCCCCTCCTCCCATGGCACCGATGGCACCAGACGCCGTCCCTATGAGAAGGCGAGTGATGCCAACAGACGACTCGTAAGTAACCCCTCCCCTCCCCTCCCCCCTCCATTCCACTCCCTATCTCCCCTCCCCTCCCCCCTCCATTCCTCTCCCTATCTCCCCCTCCCCTCCCCCCCTCCATTCCTCTCCCTATCTCCCCTCCTCTCTACCCCTTCCCTATCCCCTTCCCTCTGTACCTCTCTGAAGTAACACGAAATGTTACGTAAGGACGTGACGTCAAGATTTACCTTGTGTCTGACGTCAGCGACTCGCCACCGTCGGCATGCATATCAGCCGAAGATATATGAGCAGAGAGACACACTGGGGAGGATGAGGACGAAGAGAAGGTAATGAAAATAGGAGGGAAGAAGAAGAAGAAAAAAAAAATAGATGTCAAAAGATAGAACTATAAAAATGGAGAACGAGGAGCAAGAGAGAGAGAGGGGGGGGTGGAATAGTAAGGTGTTAAAACCAATACATAAAAAAACAGCATTCTACCAGTACATGCAAGGGAACTAAGCAAGATTTGGACATGGACGCCTACATTCTACATATCTTGGGGGGCGGGGAGAGGGGGGATGGGGGCGGGTTGGGGCACAGCTACCTCTAAGGAATGGATGATCAAGTGTCATCCGTCAAATCGACTGAAAGACTTACACCCATCTTCACATCATCCAACACGTTACCTTCACCGATGAGGCTGCGATCAGAAAGAGGAAAAAAAAAGATCACCACTGCTTCATCATTCGCCTCACCCTCATTAAGTATTATAAATGGCCCCATTGACCGCTAAATCACAACCTCGTTACCTGAAGGAGGGAGGGTGAGGGGGGAGTGGGGAGAGAGAGAGAGAGGGGGAGGGAATAGAGAGAGAGAGAGAGAGAGAGGGATGGGAGAGGGGGAAGGAAGGGAGAGAGAGAGAGAAGGATGGGGACTCTGGGAGGGAAGGGGGAGAGGAGAAGGGGAGGGGGGGAGGGGGAGGGTAAAGCAGGATCCTGAAGGTGTGAGAAGATGCAAAAGTCCACTCCTGTAACCTGATCTGCCTACAAATATGGCCCTGAATCGGCGCACTACATGTTTGTGCGACTGTGCGTGCGTGCATGCGTGTGAGGTAAGGAGGGTGTGCGCACGTGTGCAACTAGAGTATATATGTTTGCATGTATGTATGTGCTTGTGTTACGAATATGTGGGCATTACACGCACGTACACACACACACACACACACACACACACACACAAACACACACACACACACACACACACAAACGGACGTGAGGATAGAATGAGGAGGGAGGAGGAGAAGAGGAAGAGTGAGGGAGGGAGAGGGAGAGAGAGAAAGAGAAAGAGAGAGAAAGAGAAAGAGAAAGAGAAAGAGAGAGAGAATCATAGAGGAAGAGAGTGTGTTCTCTTTTCAGCCTCAACGGCCTCATTGGTCCTAATAAATCCACGCAAACACGTCATAAATTAATAGGGTAATCGATACGTATCCAGCGATCAGAATATATCTTGCGTAACGGACTGCTCACTTATGCAAGCAATTAAGCAATGATTATGGATTCTGGGTCGGTCAGGTCGAAATGTTCAGCTGAACAACAGCTGTACAGATACAGAACACGCCCACGTACACACAATCTCACACTGACATGAACATACCAACATCTATACAAAAGAGAACATGCACGAATAACAAAGCTTACGAATACTTTATCATTTAAGATGAAAACGCACCGTCATCTTACAACACACTACCTATCAATTAAGTATTCACGGATAACAATAACCATCGGCACCAATACATACCACACATCTGTTGCAAATAAAATCATGCTAGGGGCCCTGTCCTTGCAAAATGCGCACTATGACGAAATCGAAGACTGCACATCGACGTAACAGATTGCAATAGTCAAGGCTAGAATCCCAATGGAGTCTCTATGAAAATGTCGACCCGGTACCTAGAGACAGCGGGGGTATGTGGTAATAGGAGTAACTGGTGATCAATTCACCAAACGAAGTCAAATGCCAGCCTCCTGAATTCATTTGCAAAAATAGTCGCATACGGGCAAATATATACACACACTCTTACAGAGTCGGATCACTGTACGTGCATTAATAAAGCATATATCAGGTATATACATACATGCGTGTAAACAAATATGGTCTATATATCAACCAACTCTTCTTCCACAGCAGAAGGTTGGAGAGAGAGAGAGAGAGAGAGAGAGAGAGAGAGAGAGAGAGAGAGAGAGAGAGAGAGAGAGAGAGAGAGAGAGAGAGAGAGAGAGAGAGAGAGACCTCCCCCCTCCCCCCCATCTCTCTTGCCCTGCACAACGACTCCCACCAATCATTTTCTTGCTCCTTCTCCCTCCCTCCCTCCCTCCCTCCCTCGTACTCACTCTCCCTCACTCCTACTTTTCCCAGCTCCATCATTATCCCGTTTCCAATATAGTATTTACGATCTCCTTGACGCCTCGTCCTCCAGCGACCGAAGTAGTCCCTGGAGGATGCTCCTGGCCCTCAAGACGGAAGGTGCTCGCGCCAGGTCACGGGAGAAGTTTGTTTATTACTTCAACTTCTCGATACGACTTCGCCCAGAGACCGACGTGCTGCGTAATATTCCTGTGCCATTCGGACCGGTTCCTCCCGCAATTACTTCCCGTCGATCACTATTAATGCTAGATAGACAGATGGATAGATAGACAGAGAGAGAGAGATTCGAACCAAGCCGAGCAGAGTTGAAACGACGGGTGTAAATACAGACTACCCTGCAAAGCGCAAGAGAACGAGATCGAAGTGGCTACAAACAAGATTCGAACCCAAGATATTTAGGGTTCATAAGGCTACGCTACAAAGCTTTCTTACCAGAATAACTGACCTAATTTCCCAGAATCCAGCAACATCGTTAGCGAGACGCAAAATAATAATAATAAGAATAATAATGACAACAAAAACAATAATAATAATAAAATCAATGATAATAACAACAATAATAATAACAACAACGATAGTAATAATAATAATAACAATAATCATAACAGTAATAACACCAACAGTAAGTCAATAAACAAACAAAAAAAGACAAAAAAAAAAAAAAAAAAAAAATACATTCAATATATAAAAAGGCGAGGCAGCTCGTCCTATATATATAAAAAAATGCATCCTGCAAATACCCGGCTGCAACCCGATAGCCAAGGCGTAACCCGGTCATTATAACTTGCTGCCATTATAAACTCTATTGGCCCCAGACACGCCCTCACGGTGCCAGGGTATTTTTCTCCATATTTTTCTGGAACCTATGCCCGATCGTAATCAGGGAGGGGGGGGGGGGATCGGCAGGATTAAACAGCGGGGAAGGAAGGAGAAGGAGAGGGATGGAAGGAGGAGAGATGGTGAGATGGAAGAGAAAAAGAGAGAGAAGAGAAGAGAAGAGAAGAGAAGAGAAGAGAAGAGAAAAGAGAGGGTAGGAGAGGGAGGGAAGGAGGGAAGGAGGGAGGAAGGGAGGGAGAGAGGGAGAGGGAGGGAGAGGGAGAGAGAGGGGGAGAGAGAGGGAGGGGAGAGAGAGAGAGAGAGAGAGAGAGAGAGAGAGAGAGAGAGAGAGAGAGAGAGAGAGAGAGAGAGAGAGAGAGAGAGAGAGAGAGAATCAGAGCCAGGTGGTTCACGCCAGCTCTCCTCCTGTGCCATCTGGGAACCTGCCACCTGGGTTGCACCACCTGGGGCCCTGCCAGCATGAGGACCCCCGTACCAAAGCATGCCGGGGGGGGGGGGGGATTCTCAGCACGATTCGCTTATTAGTGATTGATCTTGTATTTTATTATTATTGTATTCTTGTATTCGTTTGTGCTATGAATATATTTATGATTTGACAGGTAAAATATTTAATGTCTACTAAACAAAATTCAACAATGTTTTATCTACGCTCATTACATCATGGTAATGGCAAATAAAGCACAAACAAACAAGTAAATAATTAATAATAAGCTATATAAAAAATATGTTCATACAGTACATATTATGATAATTATTTTTCGGGAACGAATAAATACACATTACAGATAACAATAAGGATTATTGGGAACGGGAAAACACACACACACACACATACACACACACACACACACACACACACACACACACACACACACACACACACTCTCTCTCTCTCTCTCTCTCTCTCTCTCTCTCTCTCTCTCTCTCTCTCTCTCCCTCACGCTCTCCTTCCCACTCTCAAGAAACCCCCCTCCCAACCAACTCGTCCCTCTCTCCTCCCTCCCCCCTCTCCACCCCTCCCTCTCCCCTTCCATCCCCCCCACCACATGACATTCCCCCCCTCTATTCCCTCTCCCCCACCCCCCATCCGAAGACACGCGCCGACGAGAATAACACTCATAACAAACACTCACCTGCGGGTAATGGTGGCGGTCGAGAGATGATGCCAAAGCCTGGTTGTATGCGGTGACGTTCACTTTATCGGTGAACGAGGAGTTGTACACCCGTCGCACCTCGGGACCTGGGGGGGAGAAGGAGGGGGGGTAGGGTCAATCGTGGAGAAAAAAAAAAACGGTTGTGGCAGATTATGATGGGAAGAAAAAACGAAAAGAATGGAGAGATAGAGGAAAGGAAGGAAGAAATGTCGAATTGAATGTAAGAGTATATGGAATGGAGGAGGGGAGGGAGAGGAGGAAAGATAGGGAGGGAGGGAGGACGGGAGAGGGAGAGGGGGGGAGGGAGGGAGGGAGGGAGGGAGGGAGGGGGAGGGAGAGGGAGAGGGAGAGGGAGAGGGAGAGGGAGAGAGAGAAAGAGAAAGAAAGAGAGAGAGAGAAAGAGAGCGCGAGAGAAAATTAAGAAACAAACAAAAAAACAAAGCATGAGAAAGAAAAAAACAAACATAAAACAGACCTACAAAAAAAAATTAAATCAAATACACCAAAGAGGCTCATAAGCATCTTTAATCAAATCAAGGAACCGGGAAGGAGGTGTTCTATCTAGCTTCATAAATTACGTCCCAGCAAATGCCGCTCCATACATCTTCGTGAACAGCGGGGAGATCAAACCCAAAAATAGAGACTGGGGAGTACACGTGAGACCCCCCCCCACACCCCCCAACCCTAGTTACATGTTGCATCAACGGCGATACGATAAGAGAAAATAATGTAATGGCAATATGAAACACATACGGGGAGGAAAATAATCAGATAAAAGTAAAGTAAAAAAAGAAAGAAAGAGAGAAAAAGAAAGAAAGAAAGAGAGAAAAAGAAAGAAAGAAAGAGAGAAAAAGAAAGTGAGAAAAAAGAAATAAATAAAGAAAAAACAAAAATGGAAAAAAAAACAATGATAACTTTCGATTTCAAAAAGAAAAGAGGAGACACTGACAGAAAAAAACATAAATATACACAGATAGAACCCATTTCCAAGCGCGACTATTGCTTCAGGTCAAGTCACTTGTTTTCTAGATATAAACAACAAATGCAAGCGTCGAGATGCCTTCGAAAAGGTCGAGATTCCTATCCTCTCGACAAGGGATTATCATCCTTATGACTAAAGGGGCGAAAATGGAAAATCAACAAGAGGGAGAAGGAGGAGGGGAGGAGAGGAGGAGGGGAGGAGGGAAGGTGGGAAGGAGGGGAGGAGGGAAAAAGGGGAGGAGGGGAGGAAGGAAGGAGGGAGAGAGGGAGGGAGGTGGTGACATATGGCAGGGTAAGAGTGCCTGTATACTGGCACGATGGCAGAGGGCGAGGGGGGGTGAGGGGGGGGTGAGAGGGAGGAGGAGGAGGAGGGAGGGAGGGTGATGACTTGCGGACAAGCCAGAGGGTATATGATGTATTATCCTCCCCCCTCCCCCCTCCCCCTTCCCAGACTTCGTCCTCCTCCTCCTCCTCCTCTCCCCTCTTTCCCCCTCCCCAGTCTTCCTCCCCCCCCTTCGCTGTCGCCCGGCCGTGGGATAATGGATGAATTATCATAAGTGAAATGGAATGGAGATTTTTCTCGTAGTCGACAAAGAAGCGGAAACACGTGATCCGTGGCTTGGAGACGATAACGAGGGGAATCAGGAGGAGGCTGATAAAAGAGGGCACCGCGGGAGAATGGCGGAGAATGACTGGGGGAAAGGAGGGGGCGGGGGGAGTTGAAAAAAAAATAAATAAATAAAATAAAACTAC